TTTTAAACACTTTTAAAAGTTCTTTTCTATAACAATTTTAAAAGTCACTTTTCAAAATCAATGCCTAAATGGCCCGAATGAATAATTTATGGGTAAAGTACACAAATGGTACCCCGATTATAAGGTGATGCTTTGTTGAGTCATTCAACTATTAAAAGTTACAAAATGATCATTCGACTATAAGGTGTTGCTTTGTTAAGTCCCATGACTATTAAAAATGACAAAATGGTCACCCGACTATTTAATATGTTCCAAATTCATCATTTTTCGTTAAAAATTTGACGACAATCTGAGTTGGATGTTAACCTAATGACTGAGATGTAATAAAATTTGATCCAATAATCTAAAAAATAATTTTATAAATACTCAAAATAATTTAATTTTATTTCAAAAAATGCTTTGTTGAGTCATTTTCCGAACTTTTTACTTCAAAGAATAAATATTCAAAATAATTTTATTTTATGAATTTAATATTAATAAAATATTTTAATATAATTTTAATAAAAATATTAATTATTAAAATATTTAAAATATATTTATTAATCTTCCTAATAATATAATATTATATTTTTAATATTATAATAAAATAATCAATTATATTATAATAATATAAGATATTATATTTTTATTTTAATAATATATAATAAATTATTAATAAATTATATTATTTATGAACTTCATAGAAATACAACAACAACAAAACCCTATTCCCATATATAATGGGGTAAGGGGGAGGTAGGGTAATTGGTTGGCCCTAAACGCAAGGTTGAGAGCAGCTTCCGTGGAAGACCTCCGGCAGTCAGAAAAATTAAAAATAAAGATAAAATGCAATGCATGTATAATTAAATAAATAAATAAATACATAGTTGAACATTTTTCATATGCAGTCTTCATATGCGCGTCTAATAATATTATTAAATTATTAATAATGAATAATATTATTTATATATTTAATATTAATATAATAATCTAATAATATTTTAATAAAGATATTTAAAATATACTAATTAATATTTTTAAAATATATATAACAATATTAATTTAATAAATAATTAATATAATTTATAATATTTTTATTTCAATAAAATATACCAATATTTTTATTTTTATTAATAAAATTATAAAAATAATAATTAATAATAAATAAATTGATTTAATATTTTAAAAATAATTATATTAAGTTTTATGATAAATAATATTATTTATTATATTTAATATTTGTAATAAATAATTTTTAAATAACTCATCAACTAGTGAAAAAAAAGGTTTAAACAACATCTTCCAAACATTTTCCAGAAAATTCCTGGAAAACATTTTCCATAAAATGTAATTCATTTTCCTGGAAAACATTTTCCAGAAAATATAATTCATTTTTCAGAATTCAATTTCCAGAAAACCAATTACAGCCAAACAAAAAAACCCTAAAACTTATAACTTTAAATTTGGGATGTGACACTATATATTCACATAGAATTCTTGAATTATAAGTAATAAAGAGCAATACCGAAAGTTATAACGACAAAGAGGAACAACGGTTGACCTGAAAATCTAAAGGATGATCTAAATTAAAACCGATCCAAATTGACCCAAAAATCTAATGGTTGACCCAAACTGAAATCAACCGATCCAATATTTACCCGATCCGACATCATCCGATCCAATATTAACCTGACCCGAAAACCAACCAATCTGATTTTGACTCGACCCAAACCAAACCCGATTCAATCCGAACCAAATCTAAACTGAAATAATTTGGACATGAAATGATCCATTTTGAAATGATTCGAGTGAATCCAATTCGAATGACCCGATTACCGCCTCTACTTAGGAGATAAAATATGGAAGAAATAAATGGTTTATCTATTTATCTATATTTATATATTTATAATTTTAATACGTTATTTTTTATTTTTTATTAAATAAAATTAAAAATATTAAAAATAAGTTTATTTAAAAAATTTATAACAAAATCAATTTAATAAAACAAACTTGTACTTCAAAACATTATAATCTATAATCGTATTCTGAACTTCAAATTTTACTATATTTTATGAATTAAATAGACCCTAAAAGCTATAGAAGATTTGAATGGACTAATATTGTAACAGATTTGACTTGACACGTGGACAATGAGTACAAATGATTATATATAAATACTCCAATGCTCTTTACAAAATTGCAGTTTGTACTTTTCTCTCACACATCCCATCTCCGCCTTTTTTTTTTTTTTTAGGGTAAAGTATAATAATGGTCATTGAAATTTTTAAAGGTCCTTCAATTTTTAAATTTTGTAATATAGTCTTTCAACATTTAGTCTGATTGTAATATGGTCCCCCAATATTTAGTCCGTTTACAATATAGTCTCTGACTGTTTAACGCCGTTACACTTCTGTTAGTACGTTTGCAATATGGTCACTAAACTTTTCAATGCTTGCATTTAGGTCCCCCAACTTTTAAAACTTACAACACAATCCTAAATTTCATTCTAAACCCCAAATTTCTTTTCGATCTCAAATTTCCTTTTCTGCTTCTCTCTTCTCATTTCCAACGTAACTTTTCAGTCGGGGATGCATGAGAAATTCTAATCTAACTTTGAATTATGTGGAGGTGTTGACTAGAATAAGGGTCTATTGAGAGAAGACCCGACCAAGGGACTATCGGGACCATCAACGATTCAAGGTGTAATGTTAGATACATGTCATCTCAGGTGAGATGTTCGATGAAATGCTTGTGAGAAAAAAATGGGGTTAAAAATGGAGAGTTGACAAATACTACTGAGATGAACTAAGTATCATTGTTAAAAGTCACAAACAAAGTTGAAATTATTTTGTATAAATGACATATAATAATTTCTTCATTTAATCCATGTGCTTAAAGATTTTCCAACAGATGATCAAATATAATGAAATCCCAAACAGCGCATTCACCTCTCAGTCTCTTTCGCAAGTCGAAAGGTATCATGACAGGGTCAAGTAGTTACTCCAAATATACTACCATGTCATTATGCCTTTCGAGTTACGTGCATACAGAATTATCTTCTAAAGCTATAATTCAATACAATTCAACTGTAAAATTTCCAAAACATGTAAAAAAAAAATTAATTCGTTCACGATATATCAGTCCCATAATCAACATGAACTTATTAAAATAATACGAGCTCACAGGACGCCGAAAACCACAGGTCGGATCAATACAATTCCCAGTAAACTAGTACCAGCAGTCTCTCGAATTGAGTCTGAGGATTTCTCTATGTCGATACTCACAACAAATTCCCTAATTTAAAGAAAAACCAAACAAGAAGATCAAAAAAATTTAGCCTAGGACCCTATTTCACTTCTATTCTGATAAACTGAATATCTTTCATAAGGAGTACTAAAAGTTTTGATTAAGAAGAAAAAAATAAAATTAGATAGTTTTGGTTCAAAACTAACACTGAATATCCATATCATTGATATGCAATTCTAGAAACATAAAAATTTAAAAAAAAAACACACAATGCGAGCTGAAAATGAGAAAGTGCGAAAGAAGAAAAGCTTACTTCCGGATAGCCCAAAAGAGAAAATAAATACCTTCTTGCAAGTAAGGGGAGAGGCCAAGAAATAAACACAATCAGTGTTGCGTTCCAGTAATTCTTCCTCAATTTTTTCTTTGTAAATAAAAAGCTGAAAGACAGAGCACTGCTTGGGTTTATAATTTTACATGGCAGAAAATTGAAGAACAAAAATCAAACGAGAGGTGAATGCGTTGTTTGGGATTTCATTATATTTGATCATCTGTTGGAAAATCTTTAAGCACAAGGATTAAACGAAGAAATTATTATATGTCATTTATACAAAATAATTTCAGCTTTGTTGGTGACTTTCAACAATGATACTTAGTTCATCTTAGTAGTATTTGTCAACTCTGCATTTCTAACCCATTTCTTTCTCACAAGCATTTCATCGAACATCTATGCTTCACCTGAGATGACTTGTATCAAACATTACACCTTGAATCGTTGATGGTCCCAATAGTCCATTGATTGGGTCTTCTCTCAATGGACCCTTATTCAAGTCAACACCTCCACATAATTCAAAGTTAGATTAGAATTTCCCATGCATCCCGACAGAAAAGTTACGCTGGAAATGAGAAGAGAGAAGTGAAAAAGGAAATTCGAGATCGAAAAGGAATTTGAGGTTTAGAATGAAATTTAGGATAGTGTTGCAAGTTTTAAAAGTTGGGGACCTAAATGCAAGCGCTTGAAAAGTTCAGTGAACATATTGCAAAAGTACTAACGACAGTGTAACGGCGTCAAACGATCAGGGACCATATTGCAAACAGACTAAATGTTGGGGGACCATATTGCAAACGAAATAAATGTTAGGGGATTGTATTGTAAGTTTTAAAAGTTGGGAGACCTAAATGAAAGCTTTAGAAAAATTTAGTGATCATTACTATATTTTACCCATATTTTTAATAGATTAATAAAATTTTAAATATATAATACCCTATAATTATTTTAGATTATTCAGTATTGGGGTAGATTATACTGATATTCACTAACTTTTTAAGATGTTTGCACTTTCATAATCAATTTTTTTTTTCATTTGAGTCGTTATCATTTACGACAACTGAGTCAAAATGTTATATAAGTTATTAGGGTAAATTACTCCAATGGTCACTAATGTTTGGGTAAGTTTTCGTTTTCACCACTGATGTTTCAAAAGATACAAATAGGTCACTAACGTTGTCGTTTGTTACAAATTGTCACTCATCGTTAACAGACGTGACGGAAAACACACGTGGCCTGTTAACAGCATTTAACAGACTTACTTGGATGGTATAATTACACAAATAGTCTATGTTATTTATATATTCTTTTAATTTGATCCTAGTTTTAATAAATTAAAATATATTTATTTGTAATTATTATAAATAATGATATATTTTAAAAAAGGAAATAAAAATTTAAAATTAGTTATAAAAACAAAAAAATTAACGTCTTATAATTTAATTTGTCATTAAATCTTTGCCGCAAAACTAGAAATAGAAGCCGAGGACTCGGTAACTAAACCTGCATCAGTTTTCTGAGAAGGATGACATTTCATCTGCAAGTTTTTGCCTCTTGTAATATCAGTCTGTGATTTGTTGTGTGCACTCTTTAATGTTTCACCGGCAGAATGAGTAACACCAGTAGCTTCATTGGTGAAAAAAGCTGATGAAGACACATTTATGTTACTTCCCGATCTAGGAAATCCGCCTTTTTGAGTAATTTTTGTAGATATACCAGAAAATCTCGCGTGTCCAGCATTATGAGACTGGCGGAATTTTGTTGCTGCATGAAGTCGGAAAATGGAGTATACTTACTACTGGTATTTATAGCAGGGGCTGGTGTCTCAACAACAAAAAAGTGTGTGTGGCAGTTGATACAAGGAAGATTTACGTTGATGTAAACCCTAGAGTACTCGAAATGCATCTTACAAGAATTGCAAGTTGTCCAAAAGGTGTCATTTCTCATTGTGCTAGGAGCAGGCGTGGAATAAGTAGCACCGTTCCAACCGCTGGTGTTTGAAATGTTCTCATCAGGGAACTTATGGAAACCATTAGGACTGGTCGTTGCAGATGACGATGATTTCCCATGCGAAACATTAGTATAACTGCCCCTCAAGTTCCGTTTCTGGTTATAAGCGATTATCTTCGCTTTATCAGACAAAAAATTCCAAGCTTGCGATAAAATTTTAAAAGCCCCATCCGCACCTACAGATTTATTTTTGTCGGGATGAAGAACAAGAGCCATCTTCCTGTAATGTTTTCGAATTGTATCCTCATCAGCAAATGGTTGAACAGCAAGCACCCTGTACCAATTAACTTCTCCATTGATCTTTTTATATGCAGATATGTACACATCAAGAGTTGCAAGTAGTTGGGGAAGACCATCAAGCTCGGGATACAAGTTTTGAGCCTTCAAAGCAAATCTTTTGGCACCAACAACACCCATCTCCGCAAGTTTTTTCTCCGCAAGCTCTTTAGCTCTGATGGTCTCATCTTTGTTATAATCCATTTTAGTCATGTCGGTGCCTTTCTACTTGCCGCTGACTGCCTGCTGTTTCTTTCTTCAATATCTCCATCGAATACACTATCAGAACAGATTCTAGCATTAAAAAAACTAAATCTAAGGTTTTACATGCATCAGAAGGCAGCAATTAATTGCGAAAGACACCAAGTGTTGTTTAACCCAATATAAGAAACTCCTTCAGCAGAAAAGGAAAATAAAAAAATAGAATTTTATCGGATTGCAACTTTACTGATAAGTACAAACAAAAACCAAAAGCACTAACTTGAGATTAATCAAACTCCATACGTTCGAAAGACCCGTAACTGGCAAAAATGTACAGAAAGGTCATTTGCTTTTAACTTTATAGATTTGAAAACAATATTGCATATAAAAGGTGATCAAAAAGTGGTGTCATTGAAAGTAACAAATACAAACAGAAAGCGCTAATGATATTGTCCAAATTATGATAACTCTTTGTCAAGGAATCTATTCGCTAAAATGGTAGAAACACATAGGAAGGTAATTCGAACTTCCAAAAGAAGCATACACCAGAGTTGGAATCAAACACATTGCGCAAAATGCCTTTTATCCAAGGAAAAGAGAGCAGGAAGACCTGTTAATGAGCTCGAGTACCAAACTTTTGAAATAACTAAAATAAATTCAGAAGCAACACACTGCATAACCGAAGAATAATGCACGGGACGGTCGTTCACTAAAAACTAAATGAACTAAAGTACCAAATTGAAAGAATAATGCACACAACTAAAACATTATTTTTTTTGTTTTTATAACTAATTTTAATTTTTTGAATTCCTTTTTTGAAAAATGTATCATTATTTATAAGAATTAAAAATAAATGTATTTTAATTTATTAAAACTAGGATCAAATTGAAAGAATATATAAATAACATGGACTATTTATATAATTATACCATCCAGATAAGCATGTTAACTGCTGTTAACAAGTCACGTGTGTTTTCTGTCACGCCTGTTAACAACGAGTGACCAATTTGTAACAAACGATAATGTTAGTGACTGATTTGTAACTTTTAAAACATCAGTGGTGAAAACAAAAATTTACCCAAACATTAGTGACCATTGGAGTAGTTTACCCTAAGTTATTATTAATAAATTAATATTTTTCAGTAAGACGATTATATGTGTCATCCCTCTCTTAATCAATAAAAAATGAGACATATTCAGTTGATGAAAGAATTTAAAACAAGTGCTCTAAAATAAAGTTTAACACCGAACTAATATACCAAATTAAGTAGATGTTACTTAATAATGAAAAATATTTAAATTAAATTATGATTAAAATTAATTATATTATTTTATAATAATATATTAGTTATAAAAACTTATAAAACATTATAAGAATATACATATATAATCAATTAATTTAATAATCTATATCATAAAACTAAAAGATTAATGAAAAAGAATAAAAATAATTATTAGACAAAATATTAATTTGAGAGTTAAAAAAATAATAAAACAAATATATATTATTATTAAAGTAAATGAAGTAAAATAAATATAAAATTAAAATAGATTAATAAAAAATTTTATTCATATATATTTATATTATTAAAAGATTAAATAAGAGAGAGAGAGAGAGAGAGAGAATTAGGGTTTAAAACCTTAAGCTTATAACCTGATATTCCCAATAGTATTTATATTATTTACTCATATCTTCTCCTGAACGGTTTCTTGTATTTATTTCACTAATTTAAAGAAGCATTGACTTTTTCAAACTACTGGAAAATAGGGAAATTATTCAATTTATAAGGTTGTGCCAATTAATTTTACGACGAATACACATTTCATGCAAATAAAATAATTTCTATAATTATATATTATCCACCTAAAAAGGACCTAACTTATTTTATTTTAAAGCAAAAGTGGAAATGATCTTATTATTAATAATAAAATAAGATTTGTTAAAGTAATAGAAAAGCCAAAATTATTTTGATTTGAATCCATTAAGTCAGTAAAGAGGCAAATCAGACCGTTGACAAAACCTTATCAAATCTCAACTGTAGATTAGAGGCGGATATAATCGCAGCCACCCATTTAACGCGTCTCTCATTTCCTCGCGCGTTTTCCTTCTTCTTTCCTCGTAGCCAAGTCTTACTGAATTAACAGAAATATTATTATTAGTTATTACTTTTCCCTGTATAGCTTTGGATTTCTTTGTATTTCCTCGAAGAGAAAGCAGAAAAAAAAGTCAAAAGAAAGCAGTAAAAAGTAGCGAAATGGCTGACGCCGGCGGTCAATTTGGAGATTTTCCGGCGATTCATACACACGGAGGTCAATTTATTGAGTATAATATTTTTGGAAATTTGTTTGAGGTGACATCTAAGTATCGGCCTCCGATCATGCCGATCGGTCGTGGCGCCTACGGCATCGTTTGGTAAGCGATTTTACTGAATATTAGTTTTCCTTTTCTCTATGTTACGTAGACACTCGTTTATCATCCCATTTTTTTAATATATTATTATAATAATAATTATTATTATTATTATTTAAGTATTATTTTATTTTCTTGCAGGTTTTACAATTACAGACCCAACCGACCTAGTTACATCCAAGCCCAACCTACCCAATTACATCTAGAGTCCAACAACAACACTATTCCCGAAGTCCATTACAAGTGATCCAACCCAGATTATATCAGCACCAACCTGACCCAATTGGAGCCTGGAGCCCAAATCCGACCCGACAACTTGACCCAACCGGTTCAAGTCATCACCATGCCCTGCCATCTCCAGCACCCCACGTGAAGAACCACCAACCGAGCAGACCCATGCCCTGCTCCACAGTACACGTGCCTATACTTCTCTGCCATGACCATCTTTACTACACCAATTGCCAACACCAACTCACTGCCAATGTCATACCCTGCCACCAAGGATATCGACAAAAATCAACAATCAATTAAAAAGAGGGGAGGAGGTCATTCGAGGAAGGGGGAGCAGAATCGAATAAAAAAAAAGAACATGGGGTTCTCGGTTTGAAAAAAATGTAAGGGAAAGGGGGGCTTTCGGTTTCACAAAACAATGTAAAATTCCCTTTGTATTTTCAATAGAAGTAGTAATACAAAAGAGTTCAAGCAATTGTTTTGTTTTTCTATTTCGATAATGAGCCGACTTTTGTTGTTATTATTATTATTTTATTTATTTTTTAATTTTTTATCCTACAAAACCGAATAAAGCCTATGCTAAAACAAAAGAGAAAAAAAAAACTCACCCTTGTGTTTGGCCAGAGCTTCGCCCACGTTAGGAGACTCTTCTCGAAGATCCGGATGGTGAACAGCCGCGCAAGGTCACCACGAACCACATACTTGAAAACAGAGACGATCCAACGACAGACGACGACAGATCAGAGAGAGGGAGGTCAAACGGTTTGGGGTTGATTCATGGAGTTTGGGGTCGATTCTCGTGAAGTCGACCCCAGATCGGAGACGGAGAGGCCGAGACGAACCTCCCGGTGTAATTTGGTGGCCATAGGCCACCGACAGTGGTGGCGACGCGGTGGTGGAAAGCGACGGACAACACGACGACTAGCTGGGTAAGCCACCGACGAACGGTCGGTTTCTAGAGAGAGGATAGACCCTCTCTCTCTAAATTTTTTAAAACTAATTAAAATGAAAAAAAAAAGAAAAAAATGAAAAGTTTAATATTTATGGATAACTTAAGGGGAAAATTGCACTTAGGTCTCTTAAGTTTGGTGTGCTTTTGCATATGAGTCACCTGTAGGGACTTTTTGTGATTTTCCTATTTCTTTGCATGTTATATATTCTTAGGGTTATTTTCAGTTTAGTCCCTTTATGTTTAGTGTGTTTTATGTTTAGGTCACTAGATTTAGTTTTTATTGTTTGTTTTGATTTAAGCTCCATATTATGTTTTGTTTTATTTTGGTCATTTCTGTGTTTTATTTTATTTTATTTTATTTATAACACTTTGTTTGCATTTATTTTAATTTAGCCACCATTTCCTCATTTATTTTATCATTTAATTCTGAGATCCTATTTTTACATTTGTTTCATTTTAGTCACTAACATGTTATATTCTCTATTTTATTTGTTTTAATTTTGACATTTTACTTTTTGTTTTTTTTGTTTTGGTCACTAAGTTTGACTTTGTGTTGACTTTGATTTCATATCAAGTTTAATCCCATATGTTTTGATTATATTAAGTTTTAGTCCTGTAATTATTACACAATATGGTTTGTAATTTAATTTTATTATGTTTTAATACTCATGTTATGTGATATTTGTATATTAGCCATGACCTGTTATATGTCTATTATTATACCTCTAAAATTTGTTGCTCTTGATATTTAGTCCTTATTTAATATTTATGATTGGATTTTATTTGTATTCTAATTCATCATGTTTGTAAATTATCACTTATGTCCTTAATATGTATGCATGAGAGTATATGCATGTTTCATATTTTTATCAAATTGAATGCTTTATTTTGCTATCTTGCATTTTGGTCCTTGTGTTATGGTATGATTTATTTTATTTAATCACTTATTTTTGGTCTTTTGCTTTTATTGTGTTTATATTTTTACCATTCTAGTTTAAACTTTCATCATCTAGCATGATTAATATAATTTGGATTAATTGGCTTCTTTTTTTTCATTTGGTCAAATCAAATTTTCTTAATATCAAGTTCTTAGGAGAAATTATTATATTCTTTTCATTTCAGTTGGAAAGAGAAATATTCGTCCTAAAGTATTTTAGGGATTTTTTTTCGATTGGAAATATTATAATATTTTATATTCTCCTTAGAATTTCTCGTTAAATAAAAATTGTATGGTTGAATCTGGAATAATAAGATTGTAACTTAAATTTATATTCGAATTCTTAGATTTCCACTATTAGAGATAATTTACAATCGATGGGTACCAATCTTGGGCATTGTGAGGTGTTTATCCTTCCCCACACGTAATCGATCTCCGAACCCCTTTTTATTACAAAAAGAATGAATATCTGGTTAAACGTAGAATGTTTTATCTTTTAAAATGATGTTTTATTAAAAACTCTTTTAAAAAAAATTAGGTATTCGACCTACCTAATCCAAAAAGTCGATGGCGACTCCAAAATATTTTCAAAGAAAAACTCCCAAATCATACTAAGGACGGTTAATTTTGTTTTATGGCTTGATGTTTGATTTTTCTTTTTTTTTTTTTTCTCTTTTTCTCTTTTTTTGATTTTGAAGCTCGGTGTTGAACTCGGAGACGAATGAGATGATTGCGGTGAAGAAAATGGCCAACGCTTTTGATAATCACATGGACGCTAAGCGTACGCTTCGTGAGATTAAGCTCCTTCGACATTTGGATCACGAAAACGTAAGCTCCTTTCTTTCTTTTTTTTCCCGACATTTTGAAGTTACTATTTCATGATTGTTAAGAGATGATAACAAAGAATCAAAAGAGCAAACTGGTCAATGAAATGGAAACCTTAATTCAAAGATCTAAAAATGTTGACCAAAAGTCAATGAACTCCTTTTCATAATATCAATTTAATTTCTATTTCGTTTAAAGTTAAATTGATTCATAAGTAAAGACTGTATGCTTAATAAACAGGTTATTGGAATCAGAGATGTGATACCTCCACCATTACGGAGAGAATTTACTAATGTTTATATCAGGGTTTTAAAAAACGATCAACGACCGTGATTTCGGCCGCGATATAGCGGTTTCGTCGCCGTCCGAGTTACCCGCGACGGCCGCAATCACGGTAAATCCGAAATAACAGAAAACACGACCGCGATTTAAAATCCTGGTTTGCATTGCCACTGAGCTCGTGGATACCGATCTTCACCAAATCATTCGCTCTAACTGAGGAGCATTGCCAGGTACACAGCTTTTTTATCACTTTTCTCTCAAATTTTCCGATGAATACGGGAGAACCGAAGAGAACTTGAAGAATCTGTATAGATGTATGTTTATGTTGATTTTATTGTGTCGCATGCAGTATTTTTTATATCAGATTCTTCGAGGACTGAAGTACATTCATTCTGCCAATGTCATTCATAGAGATTTGAAACCCAACAACCTCTTGTTGAATGCTAATTATGATCTTAAGATTTGTGACTTTGGTCTTGCTCGACCTACTGCTGAGAATGAGTTCATGACTGAATACGTTGTCACGAGATGGTATAGGGCATAAGAGATATTGCTAAACTCATCAGTGATCAGACTACACAGCCGCCATAGATGTGTGGTCTGTTAGTTGCATTTTCATGGAGCTAATTAATAGGAAGCCTCTGTTTCCTGGCAATGATCATGTACATCAAATGCGCTTATTGACTGAGGTAATTGAAGGTTTCATCAAATAATTGTAGCTGAAGATACCTCAGTAACTTATACAGTCTTGTAATTTTGGAAATTTAATGTGGTATGAGATTTAAATTTGAGGATTTAATAATAGTGTTGTAATTTTATTTATTTATTTATTTATTTCTGCTTTATAGCTGCTTGGCACACCAACTGAATCTGAACTAGGGTTTCTCCGGAATGAGGATGCAAGGAGATATATCAGGCAGCTCCCTGCACATCCGCGTCAATCACTAGCAAAACTTTTCCCACGTGTTCATCCATTGGCCATTGATCTAATTGACAGAATGTTGACTTTTGATCCGACCAGAAGAATTACTGGTAAGTGCTACATTTTGGATTCATGGATTTAACTTTTAAGTGAGATTATATATAGAGAGAGAGAGAGAAGAAAATGAGCTCTGTTTGATAATCAATATGAAAATGAAGCCATCCAGTGTTGTGGTCTTTTAGTTGAGATGAATTATGCAATCGTTATGCCCTGAGCCGTTCTCTTTCGAATTCGAGCAGCAACCATTGGGAGAAGAGCAGATGAAGGACATGATTAACCAGGAGGCCTTAGCTCTAAATCCAGATTATGCTTAATGATAAAGCATAGTTCTATCTTCAGCATGAGCCATTTCAAGTAATGTTTGGTGTAATTACCTGGTGGTGGCTGATGAAGAGATCCGTTTGCATCCGCCATAGCTTTGAAGCGGCTTTTCCTTGACCACCATTGATGTTAGCTTTCATGAGATCCGTCCCTAACATAAATACCGCTATTGAATATGTCATATACATAAATATGATAATTTGTTTTCAAATCTTTTTATTTTTGAAGATATTTAAAAATTTATATCACAATATTTACAATTACAAGACATGAAAACCTCAATATTTCAAGTATATAAGAACCATCCCTTTTATAGAAGTATTAGAAAGGTAAACAATTATACACTCAAAAAAAAAAAAGTTTCCACTAATTTGCTCTAAAACATATGATAGTAAACAACTAGAGATTCTGAGCAAATTAACTTAATTGTGAAAGATTGTTTTTATTTTAATGCTTCAGGTTTTCAAGTAAATCAAGGTGAATCTAAGTTTATTATGTCTGCAGGTTCTTCAACCAAACTGTAGGTTTGCACATCGTTTACCATGGAACATCCCAACAAACATTCAGTATTGCTCCCGAATAAAATTATTCGACATTCGGAAATTTTACGCCTTTTAGCTTCATTCTTGTAGGTGAAATGCTTGGCAACTCGAGTCGTGAAGTTGATGAACCCTATTTCTTTCAGGTAAATAGGTCCTGAATGTCAAGGATATCAGCAAGCACACCAGCTGCAGTAGTATCATTCCCAGCTCCTGCGCCTTGAATAACTAGCGGTTTTTTCGCTATAACATCAACTATATATTTCTAGCTGCAACGGCATTGGGTGGAATATATTTCAACTTCACATCTAATAACTTGGAAATAGGAGCAAAACATGGTTTCTGATATTTCTGCAATTATTCACCAGAGAGTAGAATTTCGAAGTGAGCAGGAACCAATATAAGAGAAAGGGGAAGCTTACCACATTGTCACTTCCTCTCAATCTTCCCAATGCAGAACTTTTAGGAAGTTCTTGAATTCCGACGTCACACCTAAAACAAGAAATAACGTCAAGGAACCATTAGATCACAAGCAAGTTCCGAGACAGAAAAATAACAGATGATCACGGTAATCAAGTCTGATTTAAGGACACTTATACAGACATTACTGGAAGCAGACTGATTAGATTTCACAAACATTATTAACTCCATAAATAAACCTACTTTTACATTTCAATTTGCCCAAGGAAAGTCTCGAGTTTGCACCAGTATATGGTTATATCTACACGCTCTTCGGATGAATGCACATCAACATTTCTATCCGTGATTTTCAAGGATTAACAAGAATATTTGAATACCTTGAGCCTTCTATCATGCAGGCATAACGGATGACATTTCCATTGAGTGAAGCTCGCTTAGCTCTCTCCTTGATATTGTTATCAAGCTTTACAAGCCCACCATTAAAAAATCTTCAACAGACATCTTAGTAGGTCCCCATGTCTTCGGGATACAAGCTCTCAATCTACAAAAATAGAAGCAAGGTTCAGTTACAATTGACCATGTTTAGCATCCAACTTAAAATCATTTGGCAAGAGCCAACTTGAATATGAAACCACACAAAAACGAAGACTTGACAGATACGGGGTAACACCACTTAAAATCAAGATTTTTTTTTATGAAATAACCAATTTTAAAAGTGGTAGTCCCTAAAATTCAATTTTTACAATTTGTCATACCAATTAAAGAAAAGAAGTTAATCTATCATTTTTATAAGATTTGTAACAGAATAGAAGGTAACAGAGAGTTTCGATACTGACCCTTATGCTACCCAAGTCAATGGGCCTCCCAAGAAGTCGGGCAAGGATCAAAGCCTGTTTCAGAGAAAATAAAAGAAAATCACAGGAACTTGAAGCAATAACTAAATTTCCAAAGTAGGAACATATCAAATTCACCACGTAAAATCTATGCGAGTATGATAGGTCCATTTCATCAATTCTAAATAAAATGTGATGATGGATAGTCACTAATCCAGCTATAAAGTTTTGATTTACGCATCAAAGATACCAACCATTAGCAAAATTTTATATGTTAGACCAAACTAGGTCATAGTAGTTTTCCCATTGAAAAGACCACAATGGCTTATGCCTATGTTATATATATACATTGGGCCCATTTCTATTGTCATCAGACAATAAACAACATAATAATTCTTAAATTTACGTTGAGTTAAAAATATTTAGAGTATTTGAGCATGAACTGCAGTATGAAAAAAAGTAAAGAAAAAACCTACCTTAGTAAACCATAAACGAAACTAGAAAATACCATAAAAGTAAAAGGCAACAAAAAAAAGGTACTAACACCATTAGCAAAATTTTATATGTTAGGCCACACTGGGTCATAGCAGTTTTCCTATTGAAAAGATCACAATGGCTATTTATGCTTATGTTATATATATATATATATATTAGCCATATAGGTGCATTTCTTGTCATCAGACAATAAACAAACAATTTATTCTTAAATTTAAAATGCAAAGTTACAAATATTTAGAGTATTTGAGCATGAACTGTGGTGTGAAAAAGAAAAGAAAAAACCTACCTTATAAACCATAAACAAAACTAGAAAATACCAAAAATAAAAGGCAACATAAAAAAGGTACTAAAACCAAAATCATTTTAAACCTTGAATTTAAACCCTAACCCTACATATATGAGGTCCAAAAATATGAAAATGCACATCTGTATGTCATAATGAGAATATATCTTGCCAAGTGGTTTATATTGATAAATGCATGCAATTCATATATGACAAAGTACTAATCAAAAGCATGGGAACATATTCATTCGAACCTTCCTCGCAACATCCATACCACTAAGGTCATCCCGTGGATCTGCAAGGACAAGATTAAGCAAGAACCTTACATTTACATTAACTATAAAAGAACTCGTAGGATTCAAAGAAACAAATAACATGGGCCAAATAGAAGAGTTGGAAGTTTTAGAGAGTGAAATCAATCATGCATAGTGTCGTAACCGGTTTTCGCCCGGGTACGAAATTATTTATTTGGCGGGAAAAATAATATGGATAAAAAATGATTTTGAAAAAAATGTTTTGGGAGTCGCCATCGGCCTTTTGGGTCAGGTAGGTCGAATACCTAAAAATTATCTTTTAAAATAGTTTTGAATAAAACATAATTTAAAAGATAAAACTGATCTACGTTTAACCAAAAATACATTCTTTTTAGAAATAAAAAGGGATTCGTCGTCGGTTACGTTTAGGGAATTATTAACACCCCTACAACGCCCAAAATTGGTACTTATTAATTATAAATTGTCTCTATTATTGAAAATTTAAAAGTTCAAAGATATATTTAATTTATAATCCTGTTATTTTAAATTTATTAATATAATATATTAATATCTATTTTTTAAACAAGATACTTATTTACTTAGAAATATCAGAAAGGGCTTATATGTGCTTTAAGACAGCTCTTTCCTTAAAATAAATAAATAAATATTAATAAAATTTAAAAATAATAAAAACTAGATTAATATATATAATTGATAAAAGTAAAATATTTATTTAAAAATATCAGAAAATGTACATCCAGTTTCTTTAAGACTGCTCTTTCTTAATATTTAAATATTAAAAATAATAATTTTCTCTAATAAAATAAAACAATATGTATTTTCTTGTTTTTATAAGTAAGATATTTATTTATTTTTAAAATATCAAAATAGGACATCTAGTTGCTTTAAGACTGTCCTTTTCTTTGATATTAAAAATAAATAAATATTATCAATTAAACAAAATATATATATATATATATATTTATATGACTAAAATAATAAAATAATAATTAAATTAATCATATAAACATATTGGAACTGAATTAATAATAATACAAATTAAATTGCAATTAAATATTGACTAAAACATATTAAAATAATAAAAATTAAAATTTTACAGCCCTTATTTATATTATTATACAAATATAATTACTAATGATGTAATTAACCCTAATTATTAATAGGTGATTAAAGTATCGATTATTAAAAGTAAAAGCTCCAATTCAAAATATTATAAAACATAAATATTAACAATGTAATTTAACCTATATAATTATACAAGATTAAAATAAATATTATTTAAATAATAAGGGACTAAATCGATTATTTACCCTAAATGTATATAAATACAGTTAATGGCTAAAATATATTAAAATAAAATTTAAATACTAAATTGAAATGATTAAAAGTCAATTTCAGTGACTAAATTGCAAAGTGCACAAACTTGGAGCACTGCGGATGGGGTTTACCCTTGTGAGAAATTATAGAAACACCCTCACCAAAACGGCGTCGTTTTGATGAGGCTATATATACCTCTAAACCGGCCACAGGGCCATTATTCTCTCATTTCTCATTTTTTTCATTTTCTCTCTAACAGAGATAATTTTTTTTCTCTCTTTTCTCTCTAAAAACTTCGCCCGGAGAGATCAGAAACTGGCTGGCAGCCATACTTCGACTTCGACACCGCCGCCGGCCACCGTACGTGGTGGCTTGAATTTGAGAAAATAGCCTCGAATGACCCTTTTTTTACTCTAAGACCGAATATGGCCTCTCTTTCTCCTAAAACCCTATAAATCTTCCTAGATCTAAAAAAGACTGTAGGTATTACCTTCGGTTTTACAACGATTCCGGTGAGCAGAGTAAGTTTTCCTCTCTTTCCCTCGTTCGTTACTCTCAGTTACTTTCAATATGTTGCTTGTTGTTGGTATTTGGAACCTTGTTGTTTGCTCGTGTGTTCTTGGTTGTTGTTCCTATCTGTTCGTCCTCGTTCTTGCTCTTCGTCTCTGTCTCTCGGCTGCTGGGTTCTCTCTTTTTCTTTCGCATGTAAGGTGGTGCCTTTATAGGCCACAACGATTCTTGTCTCGGACCGGTCGAAAAGGGAGACCCTAGGTGAGTCACCAGACTATGGTGGTGACTCACCATAGGGCTTTGACACGGGGCAATGACGGGCTCTTCTGGAGGCTTCTACGGGACGTGGCGTGGCACTGTAGCATCGGCATCGGCTGGTTGGACCATCTGGATTGGGAGGCATCGGCAGCAGCTGGAGGAGGCACCTGGCAGAAGCTTCTGGAAGCAGCGACGGCTGAAGTGCTAGGGTTTAGAAACCCTAGCTGAAACCCCAAATGTTTAAGGTTTCCTTTTGGTCTGGGCCAGTTCTGGTTGGGCCTGGGATTTGTATTTGGGCTCCCGGGATCTGGGCTTGTAATAATTATTTAATAATAATATGTTTTGAAAACATCAAAAAGCTCCCAAAGGCTTTTTGAAAACATCATGCACTGTAGGACTTACAGATGACCCTAAGGCTTTGAAAACATCAAAAAGCTCCCGAAGGCTTTTTGGAAACATCATGCACTGTAGGACTTACAGATGACCCTAAGGCTTTAAAAACATCAAAAAGCTCCCGAAGGCTTTTTGGAAACATCATGCACTGTAGGACTTACAGATGACCTAAGGCTTTGAAAATATCAAAAGCTCCGAAGGCTTTTTGGAAACATCATGCACTGTAGAACTTACAGATGACCCTAAGGCTTTAAAAACATCAAAAAGCTCTCGAAGGCTTTTTGGAAACATCATGCACTGTAGGACTTACAGATGACCCTAAGGCTTTGAAAACATCAAAAACTCCCGAAGGCTTTTTGGAAACATCATGATTGTAGGACTTACATATGACCCTAAGGCTTTGAAAACATCAAAAAGCTCCCGAAGGCTTTTTGGAAACATCATGCACTGTAGGACTTACAGATGACCCTAAGGCTTTGAAAACATCAAAAAGCTCCCGAAGGCTTTTTGGAAACATCATGCACTGTAGGACTTACAGATGACCCTAAGGCTTTGAAAACATCAAAAAGCTCCCGAAGGCTTTTTGGAAACATCATGCACTGTAGGACTTACAGATGACCCTAAGGTTTTGAAAACATCAAAAAGCTCCCGAAGGCTTTTTGGAAACATCATGCACTGTAGGAGTTACAGATGTGGGAAATAGTTTACTAAGTAAGAAACTATGAAAATCGTTTTCTTACTTTTCAACAATTTCATTTTTAGAAAAGATTGAATGAGAAACTATGGAAATCGTTTTCTCATTATTTTTCAAAATAACATGTTGATTGGGTAACATGACCCAATCTCAAGATAATGTTCATTCTTGTAGATTGCGTCCATCTATTCTTCAGATGTTGGCGTGATTCCTGCATTTGCGGTTTTGAATACCTTCTTCTTGTAAGGTATTTTTTACCATGAATCTTCTTGTTCTTTCGAAGATCTATAAAACTTTATGTTTGAATGTGCTCAGATGTATCAATGTAATGCATTATCTATTGTGTAAATGATATTCTTATGAATGCATGAATGTTGATACAATCTTCATTTGACTTCAAAGTGGTGAACTTGGTCTTCCTTCACTTCATCATTTATTGCCAGGGTTACCTCTGGATATCAGTGTAAAAATTTATGCTATCAAGATTGTATTTCTGCAGAATCATTTGATCAACTTGTATCTTTGCGTCTTCTTTGCTTCATGAAAGTCTTAGAAGAAATGTTTCATTTGTGGAACTCTTGCCGTAGTCAGAACTATGACTTTGATGCCCCATTTTGTCTTTGGTAACACCGGTTTTCTTTGTCTGGACTTGTGTAGAAATCCAATAAAGCTTTCATCTTTGAAAAGAGAATCTATCATCTTTAAAAAGATATCTATCATCTTTGAAAGAGAATCTATCATCTTTGAAGTGTATGTAGATATGCCTGACTCAGTAGGGATTAATTTGGAGAGTAGAGTCTGTTCTAATTTAACTTTTGAAACACATCACAAGGAAGATTTATTCCAATTCCTTTCATGTCTCCACATATAATCAGATCTCGAATAAGGCAACTTGGACCATATCATGTCGAGATGCTTAACAACAACCTGTAGTTCAACCTTAGTTGGCACCACTAGTTTCTTGTTTAAAATTTCAGTTCTCCTTTTGTGGAAAGAAATCTTCATCATATCTCATTTCTAATCTTGGGGTTGAAGAAGATAAAATTTATCTTGGATCAATAAAGGAAAACCATATGATAACAACATTGGTTTAGCATCGGAATAACTGGTTCGTAAAACATTTGACAACACATTCATCATTTCATGTGGTTTCTACTTAGATGTAAAACATTTGACAACACATTCATCCTTTCCTGTGGTTTCTACTTAGATGTAAAACATTTGACAACACATTCATCCTTTCCTGTGGTTTCTGCCAAGATTTCTCAATCATTGAAACTCTTTGCATATTTGTTCAAAACTTTTGTATGATGTCACAAGATCACTTGAGAACAAAACTCAATGGGAATACAAGTGAAATATTGGTGTGTTTCATGACCAAAACTTGATCAAATTCACAAAATATGCTAGTGTCAAACTGAATAAGAGACACTAACTGATCTTGATATCATCTCGGACAAAGGCAAAAGTGATATTGATCGCGCTTTCTTCTGTAATGAGCGTTGTAAGAAGTAGAAACACACCCACTATAAGAGCCATGTATGGAAAGATATCCGTAGAATTCTTGACGCTGGGGATGAAACACACATGATAAACCAAATAGATGAAAACTCAGTCCAATCTAGCTGGCAATGATAACCCCAGTAACATCGGGAAAGAGCAATATACATGAGCTTCTCTCTTCAATGTCATTAAGTAAACAAAACTGATGTGAAAAACAACTTCGTAAACTCAACGGTATGGTTGAAACTAACTAACAGGAATCTCAAAGAAATATTTTCAATTATCACCGACATACAAAAGGCCAAATTCAGAGTTCGAGGTCTCGAGGAACTGATCCTTGGATCG